GCCTATAAGCCTGAGTGGTCTGTTGACTGACCTTTGTATTTGTTCAAATAATTATTGTGGGCAGGTTACAATATAAAAATGTTTGTCATAACCATATTTGACAGGAAATTTACTTTTAAACTGTAAGTGTATTTAATTTAGTTATATTAGTTATGATAGTTTAGCTATGATGAAAATACAACAAAAATTAAACCAAGATTTAGAATAATTATCATTTTGATCCATACATTGGTAATGTCTCAGTGGGCCTCGTGCCACTTTATGTTCAAMAATTTGGGCCCCGAGGTTAAAAAGGTTAAGAACCCCTGGTCTAATGGGACCGTCTCCTGAAACGGGACAGTCTTCAGCACTAGGCAGTGACGTAATGCGGCCAACGTTGGCTACAACCCATGAAAATGACAGCCTTTATTTATTTAGCTGGTGATGTACAGCTGCTGCMGTCCACTACTGAATGCTAAACATCYGACAGGATAACGTACATTATCTCAGGGAAATGGTTTGGGTCTCACAGATAATTGGCTGACACTTATTAATAAGTTCCTAAATCAGCTAATAGATTCCAACGTTGGAGGTGTATCGTTTTACATACCCCGTTTCTGGATGAACCGAGCAGCTGCTCTTGGTGATTTCCTCCATCAAAGTGTCTAGTCTGAGTCAAATGAAAACTYTCCAAAGCTGCTATCAGTTTACCTCCATCTAAACAAGCTGTCACAGCTCTCATGCAGCAGTTAAGTCATCTCAGATYGCTTCAAAAGGGCTTCCTCAAATTAATCCTGCATAACAGTAAAACTAAGGGTCCAAAATCTTAAAGCCACTAGATTCTGAGAATATTCAGTTTGCACTTAGCCAGGATTCTTACAGAATTGAAGACAAAATTAATGCTCCAATGCTTTTTGGTACAATTTATGTCCTTGCTAGACCCAMTGGAATTGATTTTTGAGCAGGGATTTATTCCTACAGCACATTAAACATCTCTTCTAAAATGCGTTACTTGGCTGGCTTGTCTGAAAGCGAAATGAACTTATAATAAGAAATAAATAAAAGAGCATAATCAGGCACAGCACACGACACAGGCTTTTACCTGGCAATGCTCCAGTCGGGTTCTATTTTTAGGACAGTTGGGTCTTCAGTGTAGTTAAACTTGACTTCTGGGTTCCTGAGCTCAGCATCATCAATGTCCACCAAGACGGATGTACCGCCCGATGCAAGTCCAGCTGGTGTCTCACACACTATCTCACGGGCATTTCTCCTGTAAGGGCAGACAAAAGAAAAGTTGTTACAGGAAGCAGTTCTGCACCCAGCATGCACTGTGGGTGAAAAAAATCAAAAGGGCTTTCTAAAGAAAAGAAAATCAACTTTGTCATCAAAAATAAACATATTTTCAGAGGTATTAAAGGCCTTCAGTATTTCCATTATCGTTCATTTACTTCTTCCTTTCAGGGTCAACTGTGGGCAAGGTAAACCCTGGACAGGATGTCCATCACAGGGCCACAAAGACACAAAAAAGCATTCCCTCTCACTCACACCTGGGGACAATTTAGAGCAGGGCTATTCAACTAAACTGCTCCAGGGGTCAGAGTTACTGCAGGCCAACAGCTCAGGGGCCGAACATCCAGCAATTAAAGCTATTATGTAAATAAACCAAGTATTACAAAGATCTGTTAACTTTGAAATAGTTTATTTTGCTGCATTTAACCATGGATACAACATACAGAACCCTAAACATATCAAACACAAAAACAACCCATTATGCCTCCTATTTAACACAAATATCATTTGATATCTCTGACTTGCCATTAACCCAATT